CGGCAGCTAAATTAGTCGGGGTTCGAAACCCCGACTAATTTAGTCATTGCAAAAAATAGTCAGGGTTGGGAACCCCGACCATTTCGAAATGTCTAATTTAAAATGGTCGAGGTTCCTAACACCGACCACTTAGCAGAGAGTGGCTAACCCCAAGTTGGGAAAGTGGGTAATTGGCTAAGTGACACAATAGTCGGGGTTGTCAACCCCGACTACTTATTCTGGGTCCCGCCCCCCTATATAAACTAACTGAAACCCTTCTCCCTCAACCCCATCTCTCCCAGTCGCGTCTCTCTTCTCCATCTCCAGTCTCTCTCTCATTTTGCTACAACCCATCTCAATTTCAACCTCATTTTGCGGTCGAAATTCGTCGTAAAAGTTTCATTACGATCTCTAGGGTAATTTCTCTTCCTTTTCTCCTCTTTTACCATGTAAAAATCTGAGGTTTTCTCTCAAAAACAAATTTATAGGGTTTGAAATTTATTATCAACTACTCTATTTGTGGTGGTTCGAATGCTTTGTGTGTTGATTGTTGTAATTGAAATTAAACTTTTAGGGCATAAAATGCTCAATTCTAGGGTTTAAGATTTCCAATTTGGGGCTTAGGGTTTTTGGTCAAAATTATATGAGATTATTTGCATCTTTGGTTTTCCTCTCTTATTCGATGCCTTGATAATATTTTTTAAAATTTTTGCATGTAAATGATATAATCTTTTTTTGCTTAGGTTGAACAATATGATTTTTATTGCTTGTTCTTATGGTGGGAAAATTAATTATGGAATGAATAATATGTCAATGTACGTCGGAGGGGTAACGACGCCATTAATGATCTCAGAATCATATAGCTACTGTGATTTGGTTAAGGAATTACACCGAGTTACGAAAATTGACCCACGAAAATACCGACTAAAAATAATATGCAATTGGCCCATAACTTTTGATAGAACGTTCGCAATTGAGATCTCAAACGATCATTATATGAGTATTATGTTTAATTTGAGTAAGTCGCAACTAACGATAGAAATGTTTATTGAAAAGTTGCCATATAGTTCGTGCCAAATATTCAAACCTCCAAGAGAATTCTCATGCATGTTATATTTGGGAGTTGAGTCTGATGATTTTCTTTCTTCTTCGAGGGAAATGGAGCGCACTCGATTTCAATATCTAAGTGCACTTTCATTCGGGGGAACGTCAAATGTCATGAACAATGAAGTCCCTTATGAAAATATGAGGTCGTTAATAGGGTCAACAATTGAAGAGGATAAAAGAAACAACGACTCTGAAGGTGAAGAGCAAGATAGTGCACCAATTGATAGCATGCAATTTGTGAATGAAGATGTTGAAGAGACTCTGGATTGGCCTGATGAGGCTTATAGGTCAAGTGGATGCCCTATGAACTGGCTTTGGAGTCACTACTAGATATTTGCAGGAAAGGTGAAGATAGCGTGCTCAAGTCTCGATTATATGTTTTGAGATTGTCGAAATGCACGTGCATGATCGTGTGCTCCGACAATTTGGATTAAAGCACATTATTCCAGATCCTGTAGAAAGAATAGAGCGAAATCCCATAAAAGGAGCACATCATGCAAATTAGGAGCTAATTCGACATGCTTACATTCAGAATTGGGAGTTGAGGGAGGAGGCTGTAGTGATGAAGAGGGTTGATGCACCTGACCTAGGTGTGTACTTACGGTGGTATTGGGGGATTACTCGCCGATAGATATTCCGGGAGAACAAAGCACCCAAGGATTACATACCGAGAGGTCCAGTTGAGAGAGAGTTGGTAAGTGTATAGGTAAAATATACAATGATTTTGTGATTATTATGTTATTATCATCAACTTGCTAATAATCCTCTTTCGCCTTTTATCTTATAAGTACAAGAACTCGATGAGGTTGCATCTATTGCACGTGATGCATTAAGAACGACTACCGAGCCATGGGCGAGGAACGCGTTCCTTCACATCATAGGAAAGATTCAGTCCGCTCTTAGGAGGACACGTAACGTGAAACATGATGGGCGTGAGGAATGACGCATAGGGTACAAGCGTCGACGGGTCCGAGGACACACGGGAGCAGGCTCAAGTCGTGCACACGATGAAGCTGGAGGCTCACAACAAGCTCAAGCCGGATGTTCACATCAGGTTCAAGTCGATGAGGATGTCATGCGCTCACAAGTTCACACACAACGGACGTTGAGATCATCCGAGCTCATGTTGAAGGTGAACGGGGAAGGGGGAGAGGAAGAAGAGGGAGAGGGAGAGAGAGTTGTAAATATTTGTTAAATTCCGATATACTTCATACGATGGTTATGTTTGAAATGCTATTATGTTTATGTTTGAAATGATACCGTGACTTGATTATGGTTGGATTTTAAGTAAGTGAATTGAATGTTACATTTTTGTTAAATATATGTTATAGATGTAATGATTATATATAGCAATATGTGTTTATTTGTGTTTGAAATTGCTTATGGATTGATAAATGCATAGCAAGAGAGTTGGTGTTAAACTTGTGGATTGATATGTATTAACATGAGAGATTTTCCAGCAGAGTGTGGGCTGGAGGGTCTCTGCCAAATGATCGGGGTTGGGAACCCCGATCATTTCTTGTGTGGGGGTGGCCACTGTCTGCTAAATGGTCGGGGTTGGGAACCCCGATCATTTCGAATTAGACATTTCGAAATGGTCGGGGTTCCCAACCCCAACCATTTTTGCAATGGCTAAATTAGTCGGGGTTTCGAACCCTGACTAATTTAGCTGTCAAATTACTAAAGCGTTGTGGGCGAGGTCCTAATTAGTCGGAGTTGGACAAATCCCCTAATTCTTATTTATTGTTTTAAATCAATTCCGCCATACTAGGGTGAACAAATGACCGACTCGATATTAGAACGGTCGGTTAGGTGCGGCTATTCGGATTGGACTTGGACTATAAGGGTCCGTTTGGTTGGTTTCCTAAAAACCAAGAAAAGGAAATTAGAACATGGAAATCAATAAAATATTATTTTTATCCATTTCCATCCCTAAAACTCACCCCCCAACATCCAATATATCATTTTTATCCTCCAACTCATCTCATCTCATCTCCTTTCTTATTTTTAAAAATAAACCAAACACAAGAAATGAGTCACATCATCCAACTTATCTCATCTCATCTTTAAAATCACTCACATCATCCAATAATATGGTGGCAACTCATCTCATCTCATTAAAATTTCCTTTCCATCCATCTCCTAAAAAAACATGAAAATTGATTTCCTTAAGTATGAGTCACATCATCCAATAATATAATGGCAACTCATCTCCTCTCATCTATTTTCTTATTTTTAAGAATGAATCAAACACAAGAAAAGAGCCTATTATAGGAAATATATTTCTTATAATTTATTTCCTTATTTTTTTTAACCAACCAAACAACCTCAAAACAAGCTTTCTTAAAAAATCACTCACATCATCCAATAATATGGTGACAACTCATCTCATCTCATCTCCTATTATTTGATTTCCTTTTTTTAGTCAACCAAACAACTTTAAAACAAAATATACCATGGTGTTTTTCTTGTTGTGTTTTTGTAAAAAAACATCATAGTGTTGTGTTTCTCCCTTAAAATGTTTTCAAAACACCATGTTAAGTGTTTTTGGTCAACACTAGTTTGACCCATTATAACATTAGTATTAAACATATTATTAATATATTATATATTAATTATAATAAAATATATTATAAATAAAATGTTATAATATTTAGTTTACATTATTATAGTATTATAAGTATTAAATGTAATGCAATATAATATTGTATAAT